CTGTCTCTAAATAAAATACAAAATGAGGTTGGGGATATGCCTCAGTGGTTGAGTGCCTCTGAGTTCAATTCCCACTACCCCTCCAAAAACGGGGGGGTGGGGGTGGGGGGTGAATGCTGGCTGGGGATGTAGCTTAATGATAAGAGTACCTCTGGGTTCAATCCCCAGTATTGCAAAAAAGAAGAAAAAAGGCTACCCATATTGACAAGATCCACTAATAAATGCTAAAACTAAGGGGAAAACTTTAAGGAGATACAGATCATTTGCATAAAATATTTCTCCCCAAAATATTATTAGTAGTAGCCATATGTGCCCACAAATTCTGATTCTGTTCCCTTTACAAGAATGTGATTCCTCCCTCCCCTTGAATTAGAGCTTTTAGTAATAGCTTCCCATGAATAGCAAAGAAAAGGGGAAAATACTAACCAGACAGATCACCTCAATCAAATGATCAAGGTTAAATTCAACTAATGATATTACGCACCTATGATACAATGTGATAAAGGGTATATGTTACACCTCTGTAGCATTCTTTCCCCAAAGCCATAAAATCAGTCAAATCATAGCATCAGACAAACTAAATGAGATCTTAAGTTCATGAAATCAAGTTCATGAAACAAAACAAACACAGATTAGAGGAAACAAAGGAGAGAAGAAGACTAAATACAATGTGGCATCTCAACACAGATTGAGAAACTGAAGAGGCTTTTTTATAAAAAAAAAAAAAAAAAAAAAAAAAAAAAAAGCCTAAGGATACCAGGCAGAGTGGCTCCAGAGGTTAAGTCAGGAGGATCCCAAGTTCTGCAACTTAGTGAGACCTTGTGTAGTTCAATAGTAAAGTGACCCTGAGTTCAATTCCCAGTACCAAAGAAAAAAGGAAACCCAAATAAAGTCTATCTTTAACAGGATTTTGTTTTTTTGGTTTTTCTGCAGCATTGGGAATTGAACATAGGAACACTTGGCCACTGAGCTACATCCCCAGCCTTTTGTTTTTGTTGTTTTGGGGGAAGGAGGGAGGGAGAATGGGGATTGAACCCAGGGGAGATTTACCATAAGCTATATCCTCAGCCCTTTTGAGACAGGGTCTCACTAAATTGCCCAGGCTGGGCTCAAACTTGTGATCACTGTCCCAAATAGCTGGGATCATAGGCATGTGCCACCAGGCCCTGCTAACAGGATTCTTATCAATGTTAATTTCTATTTTGATAAATGTACCAAGATTATGTTAGATGATAACATTAGAAAAGATTAATAACCAGTACCTAAGACTGCTAATTAACTCAGAATTACTAAATTGGGGAGGGGGGAACTGAGGGGACACTTCAAGAGTCCACAACAAGAGTCCACAAGCTTAATAATTTGCTATCTTTGAGTATCCCTTCTCTATTTCAAAATTAAAAACTAGTCACTTAGGTTCATAACTCAGAAAAAAACTTTTTTCATCACATGAAAAGTCAGATTACAGTTAATACTAATGCTTATTCATGAAACCTCTAAAAACATTAGCCTCCTATTTTTTGGATCTCATAGACATAGGTGCACACACCGTAGGAAATCCTAAGAGTAAGCTGAGAAATTTTAATAAAATTTGTCAATTTTATTAAATTGACAAAAATTTTAAACCTAGATGTACTTAAAGCATAGCCTACAGGCCTACTTCCTACATAAATAGAGGCTAGCACAGCCTATAGGCCAGCACAGAGGATGGGAGAAGGCTGGAAACGTAGGTAGACACAACATTCACGTTTCAGATTCTATATCCTTTTGGTTACAGCACCCTTTTAAGTACTACATGTGCACAAACTAGATATATTTGGGTTTCACAGCTTCAATTTTCAGCAAAAATATCAGAATACCTACAATGTGAAAGTACTTTTAAAAACATGCAAATCAAGGAGGAACATGAGTTCAAAGCCAGCCTCAGCAACTTAGTGAGACTCTGCCTCAAAATAAAAATTAAAAGGGCTGTGGATGTGGTGGTTAAGTGCCCCTGGGTTCAATCCCTCATACCAAAAAAAACTAACCATGCAAATCAGTTATGGTTGTAGCTCAGTATTAAAAAGTTCATGCTTAGATCCTGGGTTCAACCCTAGCAATAAACTAAAATATGCAAAAAAATAAAATACTCAATAATACTGTTATATAGTCACTTAATACCCACCAAAAACTATATCCCTACAAAGCAGATATGTGTCCCATCCAAGAAGCCAGATTTTCTCTGAATTGTGTTTATTGCTTTCTGCTTTTTAACCTAACTTTATTCTTCATGTGTGGATGATTCTCACTCTTAACCCCATCACCTGACTTGCAATTCAGTCTCCCCTACTAAGGCCAGATGAGGTTTCCACACTTTAAAACAGAAAGCTGATTTAAGATATAAAAATATAAATGTAGTTAGCTGCCAGTGTGATCAAGAACTACAAGTGGGATTACAGTTGCTGAATCTAAATTTAACTGCAGAGCTTGGAAGGACAGTTACAGGTTTTTCCCACTAACTGTTGCCAAAAGACTAGTGGGGGGAGGGGGTTTTGCTATTATATCCTTTGCAGAGTAATAGTTTTATCCAAGGCCATCAAAATGCACAATTTAATTAGATGAAGAGTACACAATGCCTACTTAAGGTCGGTAATTTTTAAATATCCAACCAATTCGCAAAATGTAAAAAGATCAAGCAATTTTATTAAATTGACAAAAATTTTAAAAATGGTTTTAATAACAAATTCAGGCTTTATATTAAATCTCACTTTTAACACTGATCACATTTTCATCCTAAGAACTATATACAATTATAAAGCTATAAAAATGTAAAATTTTGTGTCCTTCACTTTCCCTGTAAAGTACTAAAACAAGTTATTAAAAAAAAAAAATCCATGTTAAGTAACAACAACAAATACTTCACCATAGGTCAAGAACAAACATTACCAAAGTCTCCTAAGGTTTCTGTAATGGACTGTCAGCTGAAAAGCAAACGGAGTTAAAGAACTGCCTCTTTTCTGCTAGAAACTCGGACTGAAAGGACTGAACTCCAACAAAACTAACCTAAGGCTGGGGACGTGGCTCAGTAGTTGTGTCTGTCTGGCATACTCGAGGCCCTGGGTTTGATTCCCAGGACCATGCACAGAATAACCTATGTCTTGGGTGAGAAGTAAGGAGACAAAGTCTTATACTACTCTATTATCCCAATTTACTTCAATTCACTTTTGGAGGGAGGGTACTGAGGACTGAACCCAGGGGTCCTATAACTGGAACTACATCTGCACCTCTTTTTAGTTTGAAAGTGTCTCAAAAAAAATTTGCCAAATTTGTGATCCTCCTGTCGCAGTGTTCCTGGCAGCTGGGATTACAAGCATGTGCCTGCCACCAAAGCCATTCACTTGTTCTTGACAAACTAGAGCACAGGTCGTGACAATAGCAATTTGTGAAATAATCATATAATGTTCATATTCCTGCCCACCTGATAACCATTTGCCTGAAGCCAATAAAAGTACAGGTTTGTTTTTAATATCTGAAGGTGAAATTAATGAAAATTTCCCTCAATTAACTAATGCCTAATGTGTTTTCATTCTGATATATTTTGCCTGGAGCAATAATAAAGTTAGATGAACAAACTTAATACTTTAAATGTAAGTGGTTATTTTATTTATTTATTTTAATGTGGTGCTGAGGACTGAACCCAGTCAGTGTCTCACATGTGCTAGGCAAGTGCTCATACCACTGAGCTACAACCCCAGCCTCTAAATGTAAGTCATTATTTTAACTTTTAATAAATTATTCAAACTTAAGATAAAATGCAAACTGAATAGGTAACCTATGTATAGAAGGTAGGCTAACCTGAACAGCAGAGTGCAAGTTTCAAGTAAAACAATGTTATAATCCAAAGCAATCAGTTATTTATAGTAACACCAACAAAGGTATGAACTTGTCTGTACAATATATTGCTACTTTCTGGTAAGAAACAAAAGGTAACTACTTGGTAAATACATTTATAAATACTAAACTACCTGACTTTTTAACTTCTTTACATGGAAGTCAATTTCAAATTAACTCAGAACTGGCCCCGAAACTTTTGTGCTATAAAGTTAATCATGCGAATCTAGAAACATAGGAACACTTACTTTATAAAACCAAGGATCTAAAATGACAACTGTACAAGAAAAACAAACTCAAGTTCTTGAAAGGTAAGAAAGGGGTCTTTGCATATAGATAGAATTCTAGTAGGATAAATGCAAAAAAAATTCTGAATGTAGACAGACTTATCCACGAAAGACCCTAAACTGCCCTAAGTATACTTTTCAATAAATCACAATCACTGGTTACTCACCTACAGTGATCCAGTTTATACTCTAAGGGGGCACCTTTCCATTCCAATTTCAAATTTTAGCCCAAGTCTCTGGTGAGATCTGAAATTCATTTTGAACCTCGTTCTCTTAATTAATTTATTGTAATGATAATCTCCAAGTTCTTCCTCCACAAAAAAAAAAAAAAAAAAAAAAAAAACGGAAAAAGATTCAAGGTCTACTATCAGAGTCTAACTTCTGCTGGCGGGAACTTCCCATCACCCTGTTATGACTTTCAAATCTGAGCCGGAACACTGTCCATGCTCATTTGCATTTACTCATTCTTTACTTTTTCCAGAAGCTGATCGGTCACATCTATCGACTGTACAAATACGGGTAGGGAAGTAGCCTTTCCTTTGTCATAATCCCACTACCAACCCAGGTCTCCCTGGAAAGTCCTAGGACTGGCCTGTATAAATACGCTGCTGCAGTCTTCTCTGCAGTTGGCCTTTCAAAGCTGAGGCTGACCTCAGGGGAAAGTGCTCAAGGGGCAAAGGTGCCCAGGGTGCGCACAAAGCTGAAGCAAATAATAAGCTGGGTTGGAAGGCTCGGAACCCAAAGAACACAGATCCAAATACCGTCCCCTTGCCGTCTGAGTGCCTTTGAACAGGTCACTCCACTTCTGTGCCCTAGTCGCGATGAAATAAGAAAAATCGCACCTACCCCATTAGGTCGTTGTGAGAATCACATGAAGTAGATAAGTGGCTCAGCACAGTGCCTGGCACAGTGAGGGATTAGAATCCTAGGTGCTATTGTCACTAACTCTCCAAGCACTCGCTGTTCCCTCAATGCTAACTCCTGTAAAGCCAGAAAGCTGCACTTCTGCTTTGCGGGCCTAAAGAGTTATCACGCTTCAGTATTGTCCCCATTCCCAGATTAAGAAAAAAAAAAAAAACCCTCCTGATCTCCGCCGAGCCGTAGCTCGGTGACCAAGCGAGGAAAGACTACCCGGCGAGTGGCGGATAAGGCAGGCGGGAAAAGCTGGCCAGCGGGCCGCGCAAAGCCCCCAGGCCGCGAGATCGCCAAGGGGCCCGGGCGGCGGCAGCTGCTCGCTCCCGCCCCGCGTGGCCGTTGGACGCGGCACGCGCACGCGGTGGACATGGCCACGCGCTCCAGGCAGCGGGGGTTGGGGAGCCGCCGCGCACTCGTCGTCCGCCGCGCGCGCCGGCGGCCGTTGGGGTGGGGGTGGGGGTATGCGGCTCGCGGGCGCTTCTCTGACTTCTCCTCTCTTTCACCACCGCTCCAACTGGTCCTCGTCCTTAGGCCGCACTGTCCCGCCCACACCCCAGCGTACCTGCGCGGCTGAGCGGGAGAGGAACAAGCTTTGCCCCACAGCACAGAAGGTGGCAGGAATCCCTCACGCAAGTGCGTCCGCACACACGCGTGCTCCGCCGCCGGTCTATATAACCGTGATTCAGCCTAACTTGTTGCGGCCAGGTCGGGGTAGCGGAAGACCAATCCCGACTGCGTCCTCTGAGCTCTTCGAATAGCAATTGGGTACCGACTCAGGATGAAGGCGTGGCTCTTGATTGGCTTTGACTCATGCCTATAAGACCGTGAGGATCCTGCTTCCCTATAAGGGATTGGCACTAAGAAAGGCCAATAACTTGAAAGCACACAGGGAAGGAGGGTGGGCAGTTCTTTGACCGATATCCAGGGTAGCCAATTACTACAGGGGACTGCTCTCATTGGTTAAAATGTCTTCCCCTGGGCGGAGATCCGTTTTCCTTGCAGGAGCGGTTGCTCCACAAGGTGGGACCCGTGTACTTTGGGGAAGTAAACCCCAAGCAACTAGGAGGTGGGCACTGGGGAAGCCAAGAAAGGCCCAGACCAATCACAATGCCGGAAGGAGCTGATTGACACGGGGGCTGGACTGTTCCAAAAAGGCAGAGACCCAGCGCCTCCTGGACCCTCTGTGGCGGTTATGAGGCTGACCCCGGTTTCTGTCCCCTTTCCTTTCTTAACGTCCCTTGGGTCCGGACCCTGAGACTCCTTCTCCCGCCTTTCCGCACAGTTTGGTACCCAAGGATCCAAATGGCAAAGTTTCTGTTTTTTTTATTAATTTATCATCCTTATTACAACTTTTTTCATTTCCGTGCGCTGAGAGTACTTGCTGGCTCTTACCATTAGTCAGCACTATTGTTGGGCAACTGTTATAGGAAAGCCTAAGAAAAGAGTAGCTGTGTGTATGCAAGGTCCTGTAAAAAGGTCAGACGCGAAAGCTATTGAGTTTGAGAATTTGCATTTCCATCCGGTTGCTTCTTGGCAGGTGCTGCTACAGGTTGGCCCCATCGTCGATTCCTGGATCTTTCAGTGAAGTTTTTGGGGGTTGTTACTGAAAAAAAAATGGCAGTTTTTGTATTCTCCGATCAAGTTTTGGCCTCCATGCAACATCCTGTGCGTCACCACCATTGTCACTCCGTTTTCTTATTGCTGTGGGTGAGGGGTGCTGTTACTTCGTGGCGTTATGCTTTTAAAAGGTAACTTGCCAAGTCCTATGCGGACATCCTAAAGATCTTCCCGAAACACTTCACGGGTTAAGGAGCCCCAACCCGCTTCTGTCCGGTCTCGGTATTTTGCTGGGCCCTCTGTTGGTCACCAGGAGTATTTTATGTGGAAATAGCTTTGGTTCCCACGTGCTAGACATGGACACGCCCCGGCCCCGTTGTCTTTCCAAACATCTGACAATGCGGGAGGGTCACCGGTTAAGTTTTGCTGCAATTTTTTTAAAATGAAGTAACATGGAGCGTACCTGTCGGCACAAAAGTAGAGGAGGCGCTCCAACCCAGCAGCAACCTGGTGCGACCCGGGCGATGCCTACTCGCGTCCTTCCAGGGACCAGACCCGGGTCCGAAACTCACGCGGGGAGGCCCAGGAGCGACATGAAAAGTTCCTTTGGCGGCCAGTAAGGCCGCACTTCCGCATCATTCCGGCTCATTCAGGCATTGAGATCTCCGGGTGCTGGGGTCGGAGTTGGTTGAAATGCAGTCGGGGTCACCTATTCAACAGTCAGACGCTGCGCTGACCCCGGAAACAGGCACCACCAAGTTCTGCAAGCAGAGAGGAAACTGCGCACAGAGACACGCCGCTGAAAGTTTTCTAGAGTTAAAGAAACTCCGAGATAGTGCTAGCCATGCCAAGGAACTTGGGCTTTAATCTGAGGGCAATGGGGAACACCTGAAAAGTTTCTTAAAAGAACGGACTAAGAGATTGCAACTTTTTTTTTTCTAGATATTGTTTCCTGCATGGTTTGCCTCCTCAGTCATAGTCCACAGACTCTGAGAAGTCGTAGGAATATGCAGGTGCAGACACAAAGCCCAGCTTCATCTCCAACGTTGTGGAAAGGGACTGTACATCATGGGGCAGAGCCCTGTGCTCCCCTATGCCACCTGGACAGAGCCCGGGGAGAGTGACCTCCCGGGTTATCCACGTTGGAAGAGATTGCAACTGTTTTTCCCCAGAAAACTGTAAAACTTTATTGATAATTTTAGCAATCAAGGTTGTAATATCAAGACTGCATGCGTGGCTCTAGATTGTCTTCTTTTCAACCCATAATGGCACTTAAATTGCTTCTGGCATTTTAAGGGGTTCTACATTTGATAGAATTCCATGCTTGGCATCAGAACCATCTCAACCTTGCACTTTTGGCCTCACACAGTTCCTGGAAATTAGCTTCCAGGTCAGGCCCTTGAAGCTCAGATTTCAGATGCTCCTTCGCTTTCTCCTTCTTGACCGGGTGTGATACCCTGACTTTCAGGTGGGGTGGATCCTCTTGTTGAGGTTGTTCATCACTGAACTGGGAAACCATAAGCTCAAGCAGATGAGAAAACTCTCTACCTATAGATTTGGATCTCAATATTATTTTTTTAACTGATGTTTCACATGACTGAGTCTCAGTTGGCTAAAAAGAATGAAAATACCTGGGGCACTAACTCTCCTGGCGTGTCGATAAGCACAGAAAGCAATGGCATGATGCATGCACAGTGGAGACTTCAGTTTCCTAGATGACTCCCGGAACTGTAAGGCTAATGAGTGCAGATGGGCAAAATTTTACATTTATGGATTGGTAATATAACCCAAGTGGCCTGAATTATGTACATTCCTCCAAAACAACAATACTTTTTAGCCACATTTGTTGACAAACACAGGTACCAAGGTGTTCTGCAGCATTATCAGAATGCTTGAAAACAAATGTTCATCAATTGGCAAATTTTTAGATGATATGCATATAATATTAAATGCAGCAGATTTAAAAATAAGGTGAAACTATACAGTTGGGTTCTGTCTCCAGTTGTTAGTTGGATTAACAATTGTTAATTGAGATTTCTGTAGGTTAAAATAGGTATATAAGTGTAGGGAAAGTGCTACATTTAAAATAAGAGTCATTAACCTCTAGGGAATCCACTAGATTGGGAGCAATGAAGCTAATATGAAGGAAGGGGGAATGGATAATGGGGGAGAAGTTGGCAGGACATCTCAGATGTCTATTGTTGTCTCCCAGAGGAGAGAAAGCAAGTTGGCATTCTCCTGTAGTAGTTTCCCCACCCAGATTAGAAACCCTTGAGCTCCAGATGCTGGATACTTAATACTTGGTAAATGTTCCATGAATAACTTACCACTAATGAATTGTCTAAAGCAGTGGTTGGAGTAGGGGTGGGGGTCATGGCCACAATTGGGTAGGGGGGCTATTGGCATCTACCAGATAGAGGCCAGGTATGCACAGGAGAGTGACCCCATAACAACAACAAAAAATTATCCACCCAAAAAATCAACAGTGCTGTGGCTAAGAAACCCTAGTCAAGATATCTCAGTCTTCTAAGGGAAAGTCCCTGGCCTCTTTCTGGTCTTTTATCTCCACCACAAAGCAAAATCTGCAAACCCCTGCACAACGCTACTTCACCTTGCTCTTTCTGCCGGTTCTTCTCAAATCTCAGAGAATTGGGCGGGGGGGGGGGGGGCGGGAAACATGAGCAAGACCTCAGAAGATAGTATGACAGGCAGTGAATGGGAAATATTAGGTAAGAAATCGTCTGATCAGTTTAACCCAACATAGTAAATCATTCGTGAAGGGTGATTAAAAATACTCACTGCAGTATTCTTTGTAGTAGAATGGAAATAGCTCAAATGTCTGACTACACAGGGCAATTAGAAACAATACTACAGTGCAGTATATTTGCAGGGGATTCTCATGCAATCATACGGAAAATGAGAGCAGATCTACATGTTCAGTTATAGAATGATCTCCAGAAGATATTAAGAAAGCAAAGTGCAGAATATTAGGGAGAGAATGCCTAATAGCATTTGGGTAAAAAGGGGTAGAGGGATGACATTTTCTATTAAGACATGAGTATTGCTGTAGTTATATGTACACATTCCTGTATGGTTTTGCTGTATATGCATAAGTCACAGGAAACTGTTAATGATTCCTAACAGGGAGATGAACTTCAGCCAGGACAGGAAAAAGGCTGTTTTCATTCTGTACTCTTTGGTAATGTATAATTTATTTTTAATGTGTCTATTAGTTTTCATAAAAATTAATGTTAATTACAGATTATGAATAACATAAGGAATTACAATAGACAGATTTTGATCTTTAAACAGGATAGAATACTCTATTACCTCTTGTGGGTGGGTACGTGAAGGGTCTTGAAAATGAGGCATCAAAGTTGTAATCTGCCTCTTCTGGCCTGCTAACCTCTTTTCCTCTTGCTTCTTCCCAAAGATCCAAAGAGAACTTGAAGCTGCACCTGTACTCCCAGCTGCTGGGAAGGCTGAGGCCAGTGCTGAAGCCAACCTAGGCCACACAGTGAGAACCTATCTGTTAATTGGAGGGGAAAGTGCTCTCAAAGAGAACTTTACTGGCTTAGAAATTCATGCCTAATTGAATTTTCCCCTCAGGCTTTGACTGTCTGCAAATACATATCCTCAAACTGTGGGGCACTGATCATGAGCCAGGCTTCTTGCTAGTATTTTTGTCAAGAAAAAAAACCTCATTTAATATTCACAAGCCCCTCTTTTCCATTTCTCAAGTACAGAAACAAATTCAAAGATGTTAAGTAACTTGCCCAAGATCACACAACTAGGCCTAGAAGCTACAACTCTGATTTCCAAGTCCATGTTATTTTACCCACTTGTTAATACTGCCCAGAAGGAGGATAAAGCCCTGACTACAGGGACATTGTCTCCTGGGAAACTCCTGAAAGGCTGGGATTATTTTTCCCCCTTAGGCATGGCATCAAGTAATCCTACAGAGACAGATTTCCAAGTGGTTTGAAAGTTATGGAGTCCAAGACAAAGTCCTTTGCACATTTGGCACATATACACCTTTAGGAGTCCTTACTTCCTGTGGCTTAGACAAGGCTAAATAACATTGTGTCAAACACTACTACATGTCAGGCAGAGTGCCAGTCTATTTTTCCATTCATCCTCACAAAAACCAACTCCAGTTGAGAAAGTTTTGATGACTAACTCAAGATTACATTGCTTGGAAGTGGTGGAACGGGTATTCAGCATCAGGGTTTTTTTTTGTTTGTTTTGTTTTTTAAAGACTTCTCCCAGAGGAAGAAGGGGAGAGGTCTTCCCTCTTTTTTATTTTTTAAGAGAGTAGATGGACACAACACAATGCCTTTATTTTTATATGGTGCTGAGTATTGAACCCGGGTTGCGCCCGTGCTAGGCGAGTGCTCTACCACTGAGCCACAATCCCAGACCTCAGCATCAGGTTTTTATCACTATAAATTTGAAGCCCAGTCAGGCACAGTGGCTCACATCTGTAATCCCAAAGACTAAGGAGGCTGAGTCAGGAGGATCGAAAATTTGAGACCAACCTCAGCAACTGGGCGAGACCCTGTCTCAAACTACAAAATAAAAAGGGCTGAGGATGTGGCTCAGTGGTAGAGTGCTATATATATGCTCATTCCATCAAATTTTGAAAAATGATTACTAATGTCAAATGTTAGCAAAAGTGCAGGGAAATAATTATTATGGTTAATACATAATGTAAATTGACATGGTCTTTCAGAGAGCAATTCAAAAGCATCTATTAAGTTTTTTGTATGTGTATGGTATTGGGGCTCAAAGCCAGGGCTTTGAGCATGCTGATCATGTGCTCTACCATTGAACTACACCCCAGCCCTCTGAAAATTTTAAATCCACATATTGTAGGAAATAGAAATGCTACTTTTTGGTGTTCATTCTGAAGAAACTCTCCCATACATATAGAGAGAACAAAGATAGCATTGTTTGTAATTTTTAAAGTAATAAACAGGGAAATAATGTCAACAAGGGAATAGCTAAATTTGCTATATTGTTTATGCAGCAATTGAGAGATTAATCTAGTTTAAATATATGCATAGGGGCTGGGATTGTAGCTCAATGGTACAGCACTTGCCTCTCACATGTGGAGTTCTGAGTTCCATCCTCAGCACCACGTAAGAATAAAGGTATTATATCCATCTACAACTAAAAAATAAAAAAAAAATGCATATCCATGTTTATGTATATTCATATACCTAGAAAATATATGTAACAACATTATATACAAAACATGAATCTCACCAGGCACGGTGGTTCACACCTATAATCCCAACCACTCAGGAGGTTGTAGAAGGAAAAACACAAGTTTAAAGCCAGTCTGTGTGACTTAGTAAAATAATGTCTTAAAATTGAAGGAAAAGAAAAATGTTATAGGAAGCTGTTGTTTTAAACTAAACTACTGCTCTGGGCCCCAACAGACCAGGTTAAAAAAAAAATGGACCCCTTTGGGCTGGGGATGAGGCTCAAGCGGTAGCGCGCTTGCCTGGCATGTGTGCCTCAGCACCACATACAAACAAAGATGTTGTGTCTGCTGCAAATTAAAAAATAAATATTAAAATTCTCTCTTTGAAAAAAAAAATAGACCCACTCATGCTAAAGTTCCAGTTACCAAGTTTATCTGACCTTCCAGAGAAATCAGGATTTGAGATAATAGCCAAATTTCTTCTATTAGCCTGTTTCAATTGTCATGATAATGAGATTCCCTCTGCCTTAATCCTTACACACCACCAAACAAGGTAACCTGAAGCAATCTGGTGTTAACTGACCCATTCTTTTTCTATTGCTCTGTTTCCCTGTGCCCATCTTACATGGAAAGTAACTTTGAAATGACTCATCTGCTTTTTGGGTTTTGTTTTCTACAGGTCTTTTCTGTCTTTAAAAGCAAACCCTTCTGTTCTCTGCTTATGAGAATACATTGTATTTTTTTAGTTTTATTTTTTAGTTGTAGATGGACACAGTATGTTTATTTCTATTTTTTTTTTCATGTGGTGTTGGGGATCGAACCCAGTGCCTTACACATACTACACAAGCGCTCTACCACTGAGCCAGCCCCCAGAGAGCACATTGTATTTTATGGAACAAAGTGTGGTCTGATTCTAGAGTTGAAAAGATCATTAAACTAAATTATTGTTTGATAATAGAAAAACATCTGAATGTATATACAACAATTTGATAGCAATTGCTATGTCTGTGAAAGAGAGTGATCGTAAGGGTTTTAAAGGCACTTTTTCTTTACGTGTATTGTTTTATAATTTTTTTATATTAAAAAACTTTTTATATACTGTACAATTAAAAAAATTGTCATAATCCAAAAAGTAGTTCCTGGGTATTTATTGTGCACTAGTCACAAGGTTGAATGTTTTATGAGTGTTTTTATTTCTCACAACAGTACCAAGTAGATCTAATAATTACCTTTATTTTACAGGGGAAGAAAGAGGTTCACAGAGGTTAACTGCCTGAAATGCTGGAAAATGAATATGAGCTTGTCTCGTTTAACATACCTTTAAAACCCTGAAGTCTAGAGGACTCTGAAAGAGCATCTAAAAACCAGAGGGCAGCCAACAAAGGTTTTCTGACTCTTGGCTGCCGTGTTGGGAGTTCACTTAAGCAGTGTTGGGGACTGTGGTGCCCAGACAGTGCTTATCTAAAGTGCCCCGTGGAAGGCAGTCAGTGGTGTTGTCTCCTGACTTTGCTATTTCTCTTCCTTCCAGGCACCTGGGAGGATTATTATGCTTTCCTGACCCTTTAAAGATAGGCATAACAGGTCAGGCATAGTGGTTGCACACCTGTAATCCCAGCAACTCGGGAAGACTAATGCCAGAGGATTACAAGTTCCCGGCCAGTCTCAGAAATTTAGCGAGATCCTGTCTCAAAACAAAAGGATAAAAAGGACTGGGGATATAACTCAGTGATAAAGCACCCCTAGATTCAATCCACGGTAGCAAACAAAGGTATGACTGGACTGGGAATGTGGCTTAGTGGTAAAGTATGTGAGGCATGGGTTCAATGTTTGAGGCCCTGGGTTCAATCCCCAGCACCATACCACACGCACTCAAACATACACAAATGTAGGCGTGACTATGTGCCCTGCTTTGCTAGAAAAATGTGAGTAGAAGGTAGATGTGTCTCTTCTAAGCAGATGGCTTGAGGAACTGGTGACTGATTTGTTGAGATCTTCCCTATCCCAACTATGTCCAGTGTCTTCATCCATGACCTGCTATAACAAAATACCACAAACTGGGTTTTTCGAAATTTATTGTATGCATAAGGGCCTTGATAAGGTGCCAAGGTTGGCCTTAAACTTGTGATCCTCCTGTCTCAGCCTCACTAGTTGCTGGGATTACAGGCATGTGCTGCCATAAGCAAAGGCATATATATATGAATTGTCATTACATTATTAACAGCATTCGATGATTGGAAACAATCTATATGTTTGTTAGTCGGGGCAAGTAACAAAGTATTACCAGCAGTAGGAATAAAGATGGGCTTACATTTCTCATATAACAAGTCTAGAAAACAGCTATAGCTGGCATTGGTTCAGTGTCAGACTCAACTGTGATTCTCCTGGCATTTCCTTCATGGTGACAAAATGGTGCCCTTTTACTCTACATATCAGTCACATTATAGTGTTCCAGGCAGGAAAGGCAAAGGAGTGGTGTATGTTTCCTTTATGAGGAAGGCAAGAGCTTTCCCAGAATGGGTATGGTGGCATACACTTGTAATCCCAGTGACACTGAAGGCTGAGGCAGGAGGACTGCAAGTTCAAAGCCAGCCTCAGCCATTTAGCGAGACCTTGTTTCAAAATAAAAAAGGATTGGGGATGTGGCTCAGTGGTTAAGCACCCCTGGATTTAATCCCTGGTACCAAAAGAAAAGCTTTCCCAGAATCCTCCTGGCAAACTTTTCTTTTGTATCATTGTCCCAGAGCCATGTTATGTGGGTACACCTGTGGCTGCCTGGGAGGGTGGAAAAGCAAGTATTAAGGGATCACAGCCTCTCTAGCAGTAAGAGTAAAGAAATTGAAAATGGGGCTGGGGATAAAGCTCAGTTGGGAGAGTACTTGCCTCTCATGCACAAAGCCCTGGGTTTTTTTTTTTTTTTTTTAATATTTATTTATTTTAGTTTTCGGCGGACACAACATCTTTGTTTGTATGTGGTGCTGAGGATCGAACCCGGGCCGCACGCATGCCAGGCGAGCACGCTACCGCTTGAGCCACATCCCCAGCCCCAAAGCCCTGGGTTTAATCCAGCACATCACAAAAAAAAAAAAAAGAGAGAGAAAAAAAAGAAATTGGAAATGGTTATTGAATTTGTCAACCGATGATTTCTACCATAGGGACTGATGAAACAATTTATGGTACAACTGAATAATAGGACATTCATGGCATTAAAAAGAATGAGAGGGGACTGTGGCTGTGGCTCAGTGGTAGAGTGCTTGCCTTGCATGTGTCAGGTACTGAGTTCGATCCTCAGCACCACATAAAAATAAAGATAATGTGTCCATCTATAACTAAAAAAATATTAAAAACAAAAAAGAATGAGAGGGATCTATGTGTATTACTAAGTACAATTTCTAAGATTCTTATAAAGTGAGAAAACAGGGTTAAAGTTCAGTGCATGTATTTAGCAGGCCTTTTGTTTCAGATGGGGAGAGCCGAAATGTGGCTCAGTGGTGGAGGTAAGGGTAGAGTAGAAGGAAGACTTATTTTTACCTATACCATCTTGTGCTATTTGAAAAATTTTAAACTGTGTACATTGGAATCCTGGCTGTA